ATCCTAGTTCTCCTCTCCTCTCTTCGATCGCTCCCTCCAGAGCTCCAGATCCACCAAGGAGCAGCTTCGTCTTGGATCTAGGCTCTGAGGAAGTTGTTTGGGAGAGCTCTACAGATGGCCATCAATCTAGGCCACCCTGACCGGCTCGGGACCGGAAAAGGCACGCTCCGGCGTGGCCGTGCCGAATAGTGCTCTGTGCGTGCCGTCAGCCTAGGTCCGGCACGCTGAGCCAGTTTTTGGGCCAAGCTAGCCCGAAAAGCACGGCTGAGCCAGCCCGTGGCTCATGTCCCTGTGCCGCCACCTGACCGTTCCATGGAACCTTGAAGTTGAGGAGGCGCGGGTCACCCTATCTGCAAACTCAACATCAGATATTCAGATTGCATGTTTACAGTACATTGGCATTATTCCATGGCCGGTGTCACGCTGGGCTTTGGGTAGTACTTCAGCTAGTTGCTCAATCACCATCGTGCAAATAAAATAAATAGAGTCACAATAAAATCTTGCATATATACTAGTAGCATGTCGTCAATGGTTACGAAGAAACTGTTCCCCCACGCTGGTACATGCGTGCGTTGGCGCGAACAAAACAGCAGACACGACACTACTATCAGTGCGCTTGTGCAAAGGTCTGTTCACTGGTGGGTGTCGTTGCTGGTTTAAATTGACTGATGCTGGTTTTTTTAGAGAAAAATACTATTAACTAGTTGATTTGGGTTGGCTGAAACCAACCAGCGAAGTGTCGGAGGGTAGCTCATGGCAGGACTCGCCGATACCATAGCCATCCTAGGACTCCACGATGGATGCAGTACTAGTAGTAACATTTTATCAGGACCACAGTCGCATTATGGCGAGCAACAAAACACGTACGGCGGTTCTCGTATCCATCGATGGATTGGATCCACAGAGAGAGATCGGGTTTGGATTGGACTGGATTCATGGAGAAGAGGAGGCAAGCATGGTAGTAGCATTGATGCAAGCCAAGCTCACACCAAACCAAACTGGAAGGCAAGGCAAGGCCAAGGCGCTGCTGCATCTGCGGCATGAATGCTTGCTTGCCTGCCCTGTTCGTCCGGCTTTTCGAGTGGAAATTCCCAAGGCTGCATGCATCAGCAATTCCTCTTTCAATCCCTCTCGACCTCCAAAGCTCTTCTCTCCTTTCGTAGTTTCTTGTCGCCTCTGGAGCATACGTAGTCCTGCTTGTTAAAAATCTGCAATTTTGCTATACGATTTTACGTTTTCCCGGTGAAAATAAATTTCAGTGTGTTTCTGTGTTTTTTCGTTGAAAACGAAATTCCTAGACGATTTTCTAACAACGGGAACGAGACCCGTCTTGGCAGTGGCACGCAGGAACCGTGTGTCGCGCAACATCGCCTGGTGCTGGACTGCTGGTGGTGCTGGTCTGTTGTCTCCGTCTTCTCTCTTTCAGTAGTCTTTCTCCCACACCTGCACTTGGACGCATGCATGGATGGATGCGATGCCTAGTATACTCCCTCCGTCCCATTGAGTTCGTCGTTGGAAAACCGTGCCCCCCTCACAATCCCGGTTCCCGAGCGACAAACTCAATGGGACGGAGGGAGTACGTAGGAACGGACGGCCGGCGTCGCTGTATGCTGGTTGCGATTTGGAGTCATAAAAGCTAAGGTGGTGGCAGGTTGCCGTTTCGTGTGAGCTCAGCCCTGTCTGTCTGTGTGCATCGTCGACGTGCTGCGGCATATGACTGTGCCAGTGAGCAAGCAAACGGAGCTGCACGCTGAAATTTGGCTTATGCTGGTACTTATACGAAAATATTGTGAGAGAAAAATACTATTTCGTTGTTGAAAAGTAGTTCTGAATAAGCTCAAGTGCAGAACGGCGACTTCGTGTCTTTGCGAGCCAGGCCGGCCGGGGCTGAAACCGAAAGCAAGCACAGCTTCACCTGCCTGCCGCTACGTACCATTTCCTTTGCCTTGCCTCGCTTTGCTTGCTGCTCCATTTCGTTTGTCACTGATCAGTGATCACTACTGCTAGTGGCGCTAATGGAAGTCGTGCGTTTTACTACCGGCAAAGATCTTGCGGAGCATGTACTAATAAATAATATACAGTACAGTTCAAGTCTTCGAGATGAGCTGCCGGCCGGGGAGGAAGGGAGGAAGAACTCTCAATGCCGGCCTTGGTCTATGACGACGACGTGTTGGCATAGCACATTGGCACTTGAGTTTTCATGATAAGAGGTACTAGTACGTGCTACTACTAGAGTACTCTGCTCCAAAGCAAAGCAATTGCTGCTGCAGTGGTACCAAACTACCAGCAGTGTAGTGTGGGCTGTAGAACGAGGAAAGATGTTGGCAATTAAGCCTTATTGGCAATGCAAGCTTGCTTTCGCACAAAGGCAGTCATCGATGATAGCAAAACATACAGATATATATACAGGGGAGGGAGAAGAGATCGAGAAGCATGGGGGCAATCACTCAACAGCGCGGGCGTACTAGCTCGCTCGGACTCGGAGCAGTGACTTCACAGTCCTTGATCAATTCTCGTCGATCTTACGTAGGTATACCTTACCTCCCGGGCCCACATTGTGCCACTTTTACTTCCATTCAGTTAATTAATAGTCGCATGAACTGAGGTCACCTTTGGAACAAGCGGATTCTAAGAATCTAATACCCCTTCCATTCTAAATTACAAATTGTTTTACTAATTCTTAGTCACATAACTTTTTTCTATACACCTAAATAAATATACACTATGTCTACATACATAGTATGACTTGAGGGGTTAGAAAAAGGCAAAATGGTTTACAATTTAGAATGAAGGCAAAATGATTTACAATTTGGAATGAAGGGAGTAGAAAAAAAAATCCGTATCGCATCCACGTAAACACATGTACTAGAACAATTTTAAAGGGTCGTTTGGCACAACTTTGCTTCGCTAGTGAAGTAATCCTTTTTGGCTTCGGCTCCATGAGCAGCTTCATTCGTAGAGCTACAACTATTCTGATAAAATGTTTGGTAAAACAATGAAAAGAATGAAATGACTATAACACCTTTTTCTATTTCCCTTTATTTTTCTCTCCTCTTCTATTTACTTATTCTCCCCCTGTCTCTCATCAATACTTATTGCTTGGGCAAAAACCACACCCCACCCCTCTGTCATCATCCACCCCTGACGCGCGCCATTAGCGCCTTGGCACCGAGCTCCTTATCCACGCCCTGTCCGGGAGCCCTGGACGTTTGTCCACCTCAATGCCGCCACCCTCGCTCCGCCCCTAAGGTCCAGCGCGCGGCGCCCCACCCTAGGGCGCGTAGTCGCCCGCCTCGACGCTGCCATCCGCGCCCTGCCCCTGAGCTCCAGTGCCAGCCCCTCGACCATCATCCTCCTTGCACTTGCACCGAGTCTGGGCATTTTGTGGAGCCTAGACAAATGAGAGATAGGGCAATAATCCTATGTTTTTCTATCTCGGATCCTAATCACCAACTGTCTAATTATTGCATTGTTCACGAAAAGGCCACAAGCTACGCAGTCTAGGCCGTATACGCCAAAGAACAACAATGCACACCAGTCTCGCTCAACCTAAACTCAACAAACTAAAACCAGCTATGTTTTCCCTACATCGTATCCTAGTTCGCCAATTGTCTAATTATTGCATTGTTCATCAGGATACCATTTATACCTGCACAAGAAAGGCTGTAAGCTACTCAATTCAGGTCGTATGTGTCAATGAACAACAATACACACAAAAGGTTGTAGATTGTTCAGAGCCAAACCGTATACGAGAGCGCAAGTGCTAGTCAACCTAAATTAAACAAAATAAAAGCACCTATGTTTTCCATACCTCGCATCCTAGTTCACCAGCTGTCTAATTATTGTATCGCTCATATACACAATGGTTGTATATTGCTCACAACAAAAACATATACGCCAACACATGGGTAACGCTAGGTAATTATGACTACCAAATTCAGAAGAATAGAAACATTGCTCCGGGGATTTTCTGCCATCGAGTTAAATTTCAAACACCTCAGGACGGCTTAGTTTGAAGCTAGCAAAAGGTAGGCCAGGCAACAACTCAAGGTCCTGGATTTTGGAGGCTTAGAGTAGGGATGATATCCGGCTACCGATGCTCCAACCAACAGCATGTTCGCTTGCTCGTATACGATCGTGAATTATAAGTTAGAATAGTATTTTTCTCTCACACCAAACCAGCCAGCAGTAAATAATCCACGATCATTTACGACGAAACGAACAGGCTGCAAATAGCTCCATATGCGAGTTTATTCTTTATCAAAGGCCTTGTCTAGTTGGCGATTTTTTTTTAGAAATGGTACTGTAGCACTTTCGTTGTTATTTGACAATTAGTGTCCAATCATAGTCTAATTAGGCTTAAAAGATTCGTCTCATGAATTTCGTCTAAACTGTGTAATTAGTTTTATTTTTTATTTATATTTAATGCTTCGTGCATGTGTCCAAAGATTTGACGTGACGGAGAATCTTGAAAAATTTTGCAAAATTTTGAGAACTAAACAGGCACAAAATCTACTGCCATGAAACTCGACCAAAAATCAAATTTGGCATGCAATGCCAGAAACTTGAACTTCTCTTGATTACTCACTCTGTCGCTTCGACCTTCAAAATTGAAATAAAAAGTTAGCAATAGTAGCACTTCTTGGGTTGTTGACTCCTTTGCACTTGCACGCAAGGAAAGCCAAAACAACCGCCGAATTCAAATCCCCCACCGAAATTTCCCCCAAAACATTGATGGAGGGAACTGGAACGGCCCGGTTTTTGGTGTCCAACTCCAACCCAAGCACCCTATTTAATTCACCACACTCTGCTTTTTACTCCAACCGTGCCCCCACACCCCGCTCCTCTCCTCGCACCCTTTCCCCCTTCCCTTCTCCCAGGCAGCCTTCTTCCCCTCCCCTCTTGCTTTCTTTCAAGAAGGGAGAAGGAAACCACCACACCACCCCTGATAAGAAGGGGCCGGAGTCCGGACGCGACTGCCCGCTCCCCGCCGCGACGCCATGGACGCCTGGGAGGCCACCAAGGTGGTGTTCGACCGGGTGCGGGCGCTGGACCCGGACAACGCGTCCAAGATCATGGGCCTGCTGCTCATCCAGGACAACAGCGACAAGGAGCTCATCCGCCTCGCCTTCGGCCCCGACCACCTCCTCCACGCCTTCGTCGCCGCCGCGCGCGCCGACCTCGCCGCCAAGCCCGCCTCCCCGCCGTCTCCCGTGCTCGGCCCGCTCCACCAGCCCGCCTCGCCCTGGGGCCCAACGGCCTCCGACCACCACCACCAGCACCAGTCCCCTTCGCCGCCGCCGACCACGCGCTCGGGTACGAATACGACGGTGCCGCCGCCCCCCGCCGACGCGTTCTTCCCCGATGACTACGACTGCTGGTCCCCGGCCAGCGCCACCGGCGACCGCCGCAGCTTCTCGCTCAGCGACGCCGAGGTCGCCGCCGCCGGCGCGTGGAGGCCCTGCGTGTACTTCGCGCGCGGGTTCTGCAAGAACGGCTCCTCCTGCCGCTTCCTCCACGGCTTGCCCGAGAGACGACGACGCCGCCGCGGAGCGGGAGATGGTCGTCATGCGCGCCAAAGCCCTCGCCGCCGCGCGCTCCCAGCAGCAGCAGCTCATGGCGTCCGCGTTCCCCTTCTCGCCGTCGCCGCCCAAGGGCGTCAACCTCAACTTCCTGCTCCACCATCACCACCACCACCACCAGCAGAGCGAGCTCCAAAGGTACCATTTTATTTCCTCGCCACCATCAAAGATTGCATTTTGTTCCAGTCTCTTGTGCCGGCCGGCCTTGCTGATCTAGTAGTCTTTCGCTCGCTGCTTCAGCGCGGCGGCTGCGGCCGCGGTGGCCATGCCGCTTCAGGGCGGCGACGACATGCACAGCAGGTTCCCGGTGCGGTCGCCCCGGATGGACCGCGGCGAGCTCATGTCCAGCCCCGCCGCGCGGCAGATCTACCTCACCTTCCCGGCCGACTCCACCTTCAGCGAGGAGGACGTCTCCAGCTACTTCAGGTACCGGGCACGCCGCCATTATTGGGGGTCCTGTTTTGTTTCGACTACTGTCTCCCTTGCCTCTCTCCTAATAGCCCAGTCCATTCCAGTCCAATAATGGGCGAACGAAAGAAACCAACTCGGCTGATTGATCCATCGATGGCGACGCGCCCCGTTTGTTTGGCAGCATGTACGGGCCGGTGCAGGACGTGCGCATCCCGTACCAGCAGAAGCGCATGTTCGGCTTCGTCACCTTCGTCTACGCCGAGACGGTGAAGATCATCCTGGCCAAGGGCAACCCGCACTTCGTGTGCGACGCGCGCGTGCTCGTCAAGCCCTACAAGGAGAAGGGCAAGGTCCCCGACAGGTTCAGGTCCGTCGCCCTCCTCGCCTTTCTTCTCTTCCTCCCTCGACCCTCATGCATTGCACATTGCTTGTTTTGACAGTTTCTGTTCGTAGCAACGGAAGCGTCATCTTTCTTGTTGTGTTGTTTTCTAATTTTTTGTTTGGTTCCGCAGGAAGCTGCAGCACCCGCACCACGGCGACTTCGCCGGCTGTACGTCGCCCACCGGATTGCTGGATTCCAGAGACCCCTTCGACCTGCAACAGCCACAGATTGGTGAGTAGTAACTGCTCTACTCTCTGGCATTGCATTGCATTTGCATGCACGCATTCCATTTTCTTTTCTTGCAGCATTTCTTCTGTTGCAGATGGAGTTTGAGTGTTTGACATGTTTGTTTGGCAATTGCTAGGACCAAGGATGATGTACGGGAACATTGCCAACCACGCGGCGTTCCTGAGGAGGAAGCTCGAGGAGCAGCAGCAGGCGGCCGAGCTGCAGCAGGCCATCGAGTTGGAGGGGCGCCGCTTCATGGGGCTGCACCTACTCGACCTCAAGAGCAGGGGTCACCACCTCGGCTCCTCCCCCGCCGCCATGACCGCCATGGGGCAAGGTGAGGGCGGCAAAGGCAATGGCAATGCCGTCCAGCTGGAGGATGTCAACATCCAAGGTCCGCTTCTTGTTCTTGACCCTGACAAAGTTCTTGAGGTGCTTTGAATGGAATTGAATCCATGGTTCAGAGGTTGTGACATCCGTATGGAATCCATGGTTTGTGGCTGTAGCAGATACTCCTACCAAGATGATGAACAGTAACAGCCTTGTCTTGAGTGCGCCTGCAGCAGCAGCTGCTGCTGTGTCTGCAGCCGATGCAGGAGGCGAGCACGAGGAGCAGCAGGGAGAAGAGGACGGGGATGGGGGTGGCAGTCCCAAGCAGGCAGTCAACCGTGGGGAAGAGGAGAAGACGGAATCTGGTCCTGTCACTGCTACGCCCATTGTTGCTTGTGGATTCCAAGAAAGGTACATCTACCAAATGGGCACTGAGGTCACAGGCTAGGATTTAAAATTTCTTTTAGGGGAAAGGCATGGGAGGAAAGGCAGTATAGAGAAACAAAGCAGACTGCAATAACTTTCCCTTTCTTTGGGCATGTTTTGCCGGTTCATCATAGAAACAAATTTGTCCTGCCGAACAAATTTGTCGCAGCACCTTATGCATGGTTGGGTAGGTAATTGGTTTATAAGTTTGGCAAAGATGTGTGACAATCAGATGGCAAATCCAGCAAGTTTGTTGTCAATATGCTATTGTTATCGTCCGGCTTAGACCTAATTTGCCTCGATAAGCAATTGTATAAGAGTCGGTTTGGTACATAGGCTGTGCTGATCGTTCATTGGTAGTTTTGAATCTTGATTGAACCAACAAAAAGGGGGAAAAGGAATGCGATGGCAAAAGGTAGGGGAAAGGAGAAAAGAAACAAGTGACTGCCGCAGCTAATGGCTATTGTTAAGCTGTATCTTGGTGCAACTTGTTCCCTTTCTTTTGGGTTTGGTCTTGATCTTTCCAGGATTGATATGTTCCTTGTTTTGCTTGGATTGCAGTGGCGTGGTGGAGCACATTTTGCCTGACAGCCCCTTTGCATCCCCCACAAAGGCCTCCACTGATACAGCTCCAGCAGCTCAAAATGGGAACATCAGCAATGGCAGCCCTCACCATGTGGCTTCATCCCTCTTCCCACCTGCATCCACCATTGAGCTGCCCCCATACAACTCCTGCTTCTTTCAGGCGCCCAGGTAGAAATTCAGCCACTTCTCTCCATTGCTGTTTACAGTAGGATGCATGTATTGTTGGTAGCAGCACAGCTGTTTACAGTTTCTTTTTATAATAGCACAGTTGTTTGCGGTAGATAGTAAGAAACTGTTTTTCTTCAGGTTTTCTCCTGGGCATGAAGCCATTGGACTGTGAATACAGAGCAAAAGGGGTCTCCTTTCCTCTAATCTGGGAGTAAGTACCAATCGGCTGCTTAATCATGATGCATATAAAATTAGCCTCCCCACCTGATGGTTGTCATTGTTTATTCATGTTGTTACCTGCAGGGACTATCAATGACCACATCAAGTGGAGGGAAGAGTAGAAAGCTTTTAATTAACAAATACTGGACAACAGCAACAAAAAAAAGACAAGTCTAGGTTGTTTTAGCTCTAGGCCTAAGTATATGATATGATAGTAGTCCTATATCCTATATAAATAATAGTAGTCGTTTAGTAGCTCCTGCCGGTATCAAGATTCAAGAACAAGATCAAATTACTGGTCCATCTCGAATGCTAGTATGGATCTCAGTTTGATACAGGTAATTAAAACCCATCTCGAATGTTAGTATGGATCTCAGTTTGATACAGGTAATTAAAACCGTAGATGGTGTAGTACTAGTAACTAGACAACTAGTCCTGGCAGCTTGTTGTAGTGAAGTGACATGGCTGCATACAGACATCCAAAGGAAACAGAGGGTAGAGAGGTAGGGGAGTGGACAAAAGCCAGGCCAGACAGACATGGTGTTGCTGCTGCAGCTGCACAAGGAAAAGTGATGAGACGAGACGGGGGTACTGCTGGGACCAGAGCACTCACGGGCGCAGAGAATCACCTTCACCTCCAAGCAGAGACCCTTCTCACCCGTGTACTATTTTGCCCATCCTCTTGTCATGTTTGCATCCAGTACTCCTTGTCCTTGGGTCTGTGCATCCACCTTTTGCTCTTCTTTTCACCCTTGTAGTACTCGTATAAAACAGCAGGGGTAGTAGACAAAGAAATGGAAAAGTAATTATCAGTCATTTATTTTGGCCTAAAAACAAATCGAAATACTGTTTTGGCTGATTTGTTGTGAGAGAAATCTTTGTTTTAACTGAAAAAACAATTTAAAAAAGACCGATTATAAGAGAAGTGAATAGGGCCTTTATATTTTGCTGGGTTCTTATTACTCTTTGTGTTCCAATTTAAATTAGCTTTTAGAGTTTGTTAACTCAAAACTATTTTAAGTTTGACTAAATTTATAGAAAAGAACACTAAAATTTATGAAATCAAATTAGTATTATTAGATACATAATGAAATATGTATATTCATATAATCTCTTTGTTCTTGAATAAATAGATTTCTAGATTTTATAGATGTATTTAAGATAGTTTGACTTGCATGGACATTAGGAATTGATTTATTTGGGGACGGAGGGAGTAAATACTTATTTGGTGCCAATGCATGTTGTCTTTTTCTATAAAGTTGGTCGAATCTAAGATACTGAAGGTGCTAGGTTTGATTTAGATTTACTTTAATAGAACTACTTGTTCTGAACTACTGATTCTAAAGCTCATGGTTGAAATCTGCTTTGATTCACAACCAATAAAAAGGGGTACACAAGATCCGGGAAGTGTTCGTGCAACGCTATATGATTTTTTTTTTGGACCTCATAAGTGTACACTGCAACATTGCAAGATGAGTGTACCTCTAATCTTGCAAGCTTTGGTACAAAGGCAAATAGAAAATGTGTTACTAGGTAAGGCAGTAAAGAATGCAATAACATCTTGAGAATGCTGGCTCAGGTTACAAACAGCCTGTTCGCTTGTTGGTTTTAACCAGTCCAAACCAGCCAGCCAACAGTGTTTTACTCTCACAATAAACCAGCACCAGCCAGCCCAAACCAGCCCAGAAACCAACCAGCGAACAGGCCGAAAGATGTGATGTCTCGTGGTTGTCTAAAGCCAACCGTTTTAATCTGGGAAAAATATAGGGTGAAAACCACCTACAAATGGAAACATGGAAACTAGTTTAAAAAGTACTTTTTGTAATTTGAAAACATATATAGTGCATCTACTCCTATACCCACATGCAAAAGTTGGGATGTAACTTATTTTTGAAAAATATATACAAAAATCACAAATTTCACTTGTGTGTGCACTACAAGACACATTTCTGGATTTTGTCTTCTAGTATTCTTGCACTTGAATTTTGTTATTTTCATATGTAAATGCAATCATCTTCGATAATGAACATGTTGATCTTAGTACATGGAAGAGGCAGTTCAAGAAGGAACTTGGGCAAGTGTGCACTAAGGCCAAGCCAACGATTGAAACACACCTACAAGAATTTTTCAAAAATGATTTTGCATCTCAACTTTTTGGTGTGGGCTCATGTATGGATGGACTACATATGTGTCAAGTTTCAAAAAATTTCAATTTACAAAATTAATAGCTGCATGATTTTGTTGGAGATCCATAATCATCAATAATAGGGAACTGCTCGGTAAAGTTAGGGTTTAAGATTTGGTGACACTCCCCTTTTAGGGATGCTTTTGGCAAAACGGTAGCCCGAGGGTGGCGGTGATGAACAACGACAGGCACCATGAGGTAGTGGGACACCAATGGGTGTGTTGTCGATGGGGTTGCTAGTTTGAAACATAAAAAAAATCTTTTTTGGATCCCATGATAGAGGCACATGCTCACATACATGAGCGTTCCTTGATACTTATGAACACGCGCACACACCCCTCTACAAGCACCTCCTAAGGACCCGCAAATATCGAGAATAACAAAGTCACCACATGGGCCTCGGTGTCGATAGACACGATGTTATATTTAGAAAAATGCAAGTACCTGTATCAAAGTCGAGAAATTAAACCTAGGTGGACCGATTACAGCATGGAAAACCTAACCCCCCGAGTTACAATCTATTTGCGTCATCAAAACATTCATGAGTGCTACTAGAGACTAAGCGGGGGAGCAGAGCGGGAGGCTTCAGAGAGTGGAGTTGAATACGGAGAGAGGAGGCGAAGGAAAAAAAAACTCACCCATGGGGAGGGTATGACGGCTCTAGGCATTGTGGTTAAGAAGAAGAACTTCTGCAGATGGAAGAAAAATGCAGGTAGGCAATATAAGGGGCTGTTTGGTTCTCCTTCGATTCCTAGCCTGGCTAGCTTTTTAAGCCAGGGCAAGTCTAACCTGCTTGGCTCGAGCCAATAGGCCATTGTTTGGTTGGAGTGACTGTCCAAGTCTGAAGTCTGGATAAGAAATTGTACGTTTGGTTGGCTGGTTTTCCTCGAATAGAATCACCCCTCTTTCAGCCGGTAAGTTTACTCCCGTTGGAACATTCCATCGAACATGATGGGGTGCATCGCCCCTGGAGCTCCGGCACGTCCCTCGATGGCAGCACGTGGCCAGTGGCAGCGTGGTGAGCTCCGTCTTCATCCTCGCATGGCCTCGTCTACCTCTTCCACGACACGCGCGGAAGCCTAGGTGGAGGTCGTGTGGGTCCCGGACTCCCGGTGGAGAACGCGCAGACGCCCGACGAAGCTCGTGCAGGTCCTGGCAAACGTCGTGCGAAGGCCTCGACGGAGCATGCGATGGTCTTGGCGAACATCGCACAGAGGCCCTGGCGGAGCACACACGAGTCTTGTCGTAGCACGCGCGGAGGCCTGGCGAAGCTCACGGGGGAGACGGGCACTGACAGAGGTCACGCGGAAGAGGCGACGGAGCTCGCGCGGGAGACAACCGCTGGCGGAGGTGAGTGGACGAGGCGGTGAGATGATGCGTGCGTAGCCAAGCTAAGCCTGGCTTCCTGAAAACGATCCCACCGGGCGGTTCTGGCTAGCTAGCTCCAAACCCCTCTTTTGTCTTCCTGGAGCTTGACTTAGCAGCTAGATAGGCATCCAAACACCAAGAGGCTGCATTATGGGAATAAGGCAAGCCCCTAAACCACCCGTCCAAATAGCCCCCCCAGTGGAGGGAGGTTTGGCCATGGAGGACGATGCTGGCCTAGATGGCTAGATCCTCGTTAGATAATATACTTCATCCGTTGAGAAAAGAATGTAATTATGAGATGCGTGTCGGTTAAAGTAGATCAAGTCGGACCAAATTTATAGCAAATACTATTAATATTTATGTCTCCAAGTAAATTTATTATGAAAATATATTCTATGACTAATCTTATGATACTAATTTTGCATCAGAAATGTTAGTATTTTTTATATAATTTTGGTCAAAGCTCAGAAAGATTGATTTATCGGGAAGCGAGAATTGCATTCTTTTATGGACGGAGGGAGTATTCAAGGGCTTGGGGGTAATTTTAGGAGACATTTCATTTCATGAAATATCATTAATCATTCAACTGAATGGCTTGCATGGCAAGTTGTGAAAAATGTTGTCGTTGGTGGTGGAGGTCTGTTCCCATTTGCCGAATTTTAGGGCAACAGAAAAGGCAGGGCGTGGGAGAAAAGAGAGAATCTGGTGCAGTGACTGTGAGAGTGATGTTTCCGCGAGTGAATGGAGGGGGAGACCTGACGGGGAAAGGGCAAACAGCTCACGCACCCTTTCGGTACCATGGGACGGCGATCGGCAACTCGAGCTCCGTGCACGCAGCATGCACTTGTTTCTGGTTTTCCGATTCCGATGGGAAACCCTGCAGGGCAATGCAGATCGGAGTAGAGTAGTACGTATACTGCTATATGCATGCAGTAGGTTTTGTGTTGGCCTCGTCCTCACACCTGTTGCCAACAAGTTTTTTTTTTGAAAATTCACATATATTAAAACATTAGAACCAGAATACATAGATTTGGGAAATAAATTCCTAATTACATGGTGAAAACCAGTGAGCGACGCAGAAGAGAGCTATGCCTACTTTAAGAGCAACTCCAATGGAGCCCCTAAATAAACCCCTATTCCAATTTTAGGGGCTTGAGCAAAAAAAAAAAAACCACTCTAATGGGGCTCCTACTTGGACTCCCATTTTAGGAGAACTTCCAAAATTTAGTTTCAGGTCCCCAGGAACCAGGGGCTCTATTCCGCCCCCGACGCCCTCCCGCCGCCACCCCACCGCCGCTCCTCTTCCCGCACGCGGCCGCATCCTTCTCCTCTCCACACGAGCACCGCGGAAGCTCCTCCCCACAGCGACTCCTCCCGGCTCCTCCCGGGCGGTCCGGCGA